CTTCTCTAACACTTCACTGGTGCTCTTTGGTGGAGAGAAGTACTTTAAAAATAAAATGTCTTCACCAATATTGACCAGCTTTGTCTTGAACCCAGACCTCGTCGCCCGACCAGTGCGTTTTCCGTAAGGCCTTTGATTTTCTAACACTGTTAGAAAAGGCTATGGGACTAAGCTCCACTTTGTTTCTAAGCTATACTCCCACGTATAGAGTCGAGGCATCTGGTCAGAGCAGAAGACTTGTTCATTAGTTGTTTCCCTTTGAAATAAATGTACGCCGTATGCAATGCCCACGTTGACAAAATTCGCTTACGAAAGTGTTTTGATTCAGAGTGTTTCTAGTGAAGATCGCCGGTATAGCATTATTCATCTTAGAAAAATGTAAAAGGGAGGACCAGTTAGAGATCTCAGTTTCACAGGTTGGTGCCCTCTCGCTAAGAAATCGGTATATATTCGACATGGAGGTTTCGACACTTACCAACACATATGCTCCCTTTTCGCTCACTGCTACCCGTCTGGCCTCTTCCAGTCTGTTCTTTTGCTTTACAACTTGAAGTCTGGCAGCCTGTGGTAGCGCTTTCAGTATTGTCTTAACGTCATCACGCCGTTTAATCGATTCTTTGATAGCATTGTAAGCGTCCTCAAACGTTTCTGCACGATCTTTGATGACTTCGACTTGTTTCTTGAAGACCTCCCATTTCATCATAGGTGCGAACAGCTCGTTATTCCCAAATCTGTCATATCCTACTTTGTTCATAAAAGCCAGTCTTCTCTTTGCCACTAAGAAATAATCCAAGCAAATGATTAACAAGGGAGTTGATATCTGCTTGTGTACCGCTTCAAACTCCCAATGGGGATTTACATTTTATTTCTGATAACTATTTACCTTTTTAAGGCTGTGCCTCCAGTCCTACTTTTTTGTTCCTACCACATTTTAAGGTCTTCCGTACTATATTACTGTACAAACGTACGGCAACATGGAATCTACGTATTTATTGCCGGGATGAGATCATGTCTTTCGAAAATAGTGTTATCAGCAAATTTCTTTTACGTGGTTTCTTTTCGTGAAATACATTGTAGCGAATGCACCAGTAAATTTCCGGACAGTTACTCAAACCATACAACTGAATCGTAACCAGTGGTTTCTGAAATACGATTAACTAAATTACACGACAACCAACTACCGACAACAATAACTACGATTACAAAGCGAAACATAAAACGACAAAAAACAACGCAAAACGTACCTGACGGTTTGGATAAAGGGAGTACACGGGTGCCATAAAGAAACCATGAAAGGACGACAAACTGAATAACATACTGTTCTTTTCGCGCGAAAATTTAAATATATACATATGGGCGCAAGGGGATTGAAACCTAATTGGCGGATAAACCGCTGACCCTGAATTTGTTGTAACTTACATTAAACGAAAATATATTCGAAAATGCCGAACCTTTTGTCAATTCGGACGCTCCAGGTTTGCCACTTGACAATTTTACAACAAACTTGAAAACAGCGTCGCTTTTTTTGATATTGTTAGCCCAGAGAAGGTCTTGACCATATCTAGTCATCATCTTTATCAGCTGCAGAGGATACTTTTTCAATTGCTTGGGACCCAAACTAAATTTCTGAAGATAAGAACTTTCCACCTGACCATTGGAGCCTTTTGCTACGAGTCCTTAAAAGTAAAATCGTAACAAAATTGAAAGTTGTTAAATATGCATTTAAAGCGTAAACTTTAGAGAGAACGGCTAATAGTTAGTGTTCTAGCATTGCCCCTCAAATTACAATGTTTGGAAGGAACCTTTCTTCCCATTCCCTCCCCATTGCAGTATTGTTGAACACAAGACCTGAAAACATTTCATTTCAGTTTTCTTTCTCGAGCCAACACCGCAAGTTTAGATAGGAAGAAGGGGAACACTTAAACTTGAAACAGCGTTCCACTCTTTTCTCACGTGGTAGGAAGCGTAAGACCGCCTAAAATTAAATTAAAGAATAAATAACGAATAAACAAATGAAAAACCTTGTCCGTTGCTTCCGCTTCTTCCAGTTGCTCCGCGAGTGGCCTCGCCAGTTAGTCCGGATGATTCACACCGATGACGACAGCGCAGACTAAAACGCGGACATGAGCTCCTCTTCCTACAGTTTATCCCGCGGCCACCACGTCCTCCTAGACCACCTGAAAACAACAATTTCTTTCAATTGATCAAACTATTCTTGCTCAGTTG